TATGGTGTCTCTTCATAGTCTAAAGTTCTCGCTCTCAGTCTAAAATAATCTAGACTACAGTATATTTACATAACAAAATTAGACTTTGTTGCTAATTGCATTGTGATAAACTTAAAAAAAATTGATTACACTCATCAAAAATGTCTGCTTAAAGACTAAATATAGGCAATAAGTGGCATTTATACTCCATAAATGAGATTCAGTTATTCAAAAAATTATGATTCTTATCAAAAACTATGGGGCACATATATTGTTTTGCTTCTCTACACCCTTCCTAGTTTATATATGTATTTCTAAGCAGTGTGTAATTGTGGTGTTGTCAGCGGAGTCTTCTTTCAGATTCTGTCAGTGATACTGGTCCATACATAATGTTCAGAGGTGAAAGTTCACGGAGTTATATTGGGCTCTAGTTATTCACGAAGCGCTGAGTGTGCAGCCCCAGCCTCACTGTTTCCACATTACCTGGAACTGGCCACCTCCACGCTCTCTAATGTGTTTTTAAAATGCACTTTGGCACTTTCTTGTCACAGCTCCAGTCCACTACCAGTACACTGTATTTCTATTAGAGCCCGACCGATATGGATTTTGTTGTGACCGATATGAAACCGATATAATGGTAGTAGGAGCTGCCGATAGCCGATAAAGTCACCGATATATTTAGTGATGTAAAAATTCACTGTAAATCTTGAATTGATTAAAAAACTTAGGTTTGGCTCTAGTGGATTCTAAATTGGGTTTATTTAGGCAACATTTATTGTTATTTTGACTCTTTACATCATATTTACATACAATAGATTGGCCTAATAGCATTTTTGCATCACATTCTAGCTACTAGTGATGGGTATTCCAGTTTTGTTTTTTTTGGAGAACCGGCTCTTTTGGCTCGGCTCACTAAAGCAGCTGGCTCTTTCGGCTCCCAAGCAACTCTTGAGATTGTTTTGTTGCAAGCAGGACTAAACCAAAACTGAACAGGGACTGAAAAAGGACTAAACCAGGACTAAAACAGATTTAAACCATGTGTAAAACAGGACTAAACCAGAACTGAACCAGGACTGAGTGTCGGGACTCGGTTTCTATCTCTCTCCTGCACTCGAGCCCAAGATTAGTCCTGGTTTATTCATTTTATGCTGAACTGCAGCCAAATATGCACTTTTTTTTAATCCTATGCACACGCAGATTTCTGAAAGTTTAGTTTTTAGCCGCTGCTGCTGTCAAACTACGGGTCTACATGCGGCATGAAGAGAAAAAGTGAGAAAAAGAGAAAACACGGCTCCCAATAAGAAGCAAGCTCCCGTTCGCTCTAAGAGCCGCTTCGATCGCGACCGACCCATAACTCCTAGCTATTAGTCTTTAGCCGTAAATGCTGCGCACCGCGGTAGTTAATTATATGCATAAATGTGGATCATTCACACGTCTATTCACAGCTCATTTACATATCAATGCTGGTCCAGTAACAAATATACGGCCAATATAGTCACTTTACAATAGACCAATAGAAAACAGACTGTTCATGTGCGGGAGCTACAGCAGCTAACCGCTAACAACACCTAAACTAGCTTCAAAGTCGATGTATTTCCAACACTCACCGCTCACACAGGCTCCTCCTCACATCACAAGTCTGCACTAATAAATGTCCTTTTAATCCAGACTCAAACCGATTGTCCAAAAAAGAATATAATCTCAATGTTGCGCACGGCTGCGGGTGTAAACAAACACACGCGAGTGAAGTGACGTCACTCTGGTGGTGTGTTCAGGGAAAGTACGGACACAGACACAGACAAATTACACCGCAGATAAATACTGATGCGGAGCCACTTATTAGGACATTTATCTGTCTGTAAATTGGATTAAATGAACATAATGTAGAGAGTCTAAGCTTTATAACGAGGTATAACATGCCCACGTGAAATATCGGCCCCTATCAGCAAGCATATCGGCCGATAGCCGATATGTCTCCAGGTGCCCATATTGGCCGATATATCGGTCGGGCTCTAATTTCTATAGCACATTTTTAACCATTTAACACTATAAAGTATAATAAAGCAACTGTGTAAAAGTAAAACAACAAAACTACAAAAACACTTGCTTAGAGATAGTTAGAAATACTTAGAAATTAACCTAAAAAGTTCTACAGTATGGCATTAAACTTATCTATCTTCATGGAGACAAGCAACTGACGCAATTATTGATGCTAATTAATGAAGTAATGGGTCAGATCTATGGAAGAGAGAGCCCAGTCTCAGTAAGAATGTATGTTTTTCAAGGTTTTCTTTTTATTTAAAGTAAAATACAAAAACATGTAATGGAATAAATGCAAGATAGTAGGGGTGTAACAATAACGGAAATATTGTGATATCGTATCGTACGTTCTCCCAATAATATCATGGACCATCACAATATATCAAGTCTCTTTGCTTAAATTAAGAGTTGTGGTGCAGCAATAGCTAAAAAACACAGAGGGAACTACATAGGCCATGAACCTTTGCTCCATTTCAGTGCCGACTACAGGAAGAAATTACAGTTCTAAGCACTTTTAAGTCTTAGTTCTTTGGATTAAGTCTTGTCAAGGCATTTTAAGAGGAAAATGTAGCATATTAACAGCGTTGTTCGCAGCCTCCACAAAATATCTCAATAAATATCGTACCTTGAGATGTATATCATGAAAATATCGTACCGAGAGATTTAGATATTGTTACATCCCTAATTGTGAGCCTCCCCACCATATCGTGAGCTTTCCCACGATATCACAATAAGTATCATACCGTAAGGTTCATACTGTGACAATATCGTATCGTGAGACTTGGATATTGTTACTCTCCTACAAGATAGATATGTTAATGTGATACTGTGGGACTTTCATGGCCCAGCAGTAACATCTCCGTGGTGACAAGTAGGAAGCGGGCCCCTCACCTGAATAGTTACATAGTGCACCTTTTAGATGAACTTTTCCATTATAAAGTATTACCTTTGCTATTTATAGTACACAGACATTACTGAGAATTTCAAATGACATTGAGAGAAACAAGTTTGTGTCAATTGAGTATGACAATTTGACCTGGACACTGAAAGTTAAAGATTCCACAAACTAAAAAAGCATAACAAGAAGGGTACTATGTTATTATTTTTTACGATTTTATTGCAAAATCTGTTTAGGTCTCTTGTAAAAAATAATAGAGCTGGGTTGGCTTCACCATTTTCGATTTACTTACTTACTTTATTACTTATAAAATTTTCTGTCACTGAAGTACTACTTTTTGGACCTAAAGCTTCTCAAGAAATGTGACTCTCTAGCACTTAAACCCCTTTTTTGTCAAATCCAAAACAAAACACATGGGGAAAAAAATCACACAATATTGTTTTTCTCATTTTGTGGCTAAAAAATAATCATAAAAAGTCATCTGTAACCCTGTATTCATAATTAGGCTACTACTACACATCTGATGTTATTATTAAACTAAACACTGTATGGGTCATTACATAGGCCTATATTCAGCTCTGGAGCAGCTCTCAGCTTTGGAGACCTGTGACCTAAATTACACAATGTTTATATCAACACCAGTGACATTCAGCTGTCTTCTCTTTCCCTCTCTTTTACTCTCGTGTACTTTGATTAGCTCTTGTCCATTTGTAACAGTGTTTTTAGCTTCGTCCTTTCTCCATTAGGGAAAGGCAATGTGAACAAACATTTCAAAAATATCTACAATTGCAGAATCCCTTTTACAGCTCTCTCCCTGTTTTTAAAATCAAAAGAAGAAATCTAGTGTTTTATTTAAAGGTGCACTGTGTATCGTTTCTGGTGGAGGGTCTGCCATCTGCTTGTTTCTATGGTGATGTTATTGCTTCATAGTATGGCATTAAACAAATATATCTTCTTTATTCAATCCTAATAGTTTTTATTTCTCAAAACTACCACAAAAACATGCATTATTACTGCAAGCGGACCCATTTCTCTACAGATCTGACCTGTAACTTGACCTGGTGATATGCCTGCTTGCCATGGAGATAGTTAAATTAAATCCCAGACTGTAGAACATTCTAGGAAAAAACAATAACATCTGCATAGAGTCAAGCAGGTGGCAGATCGTCTACTAGAAAAGTTACACAGTGCTACTTAAGGAGCATTACTGTATTGTATTACCACTGAACTATAATTGTTATTTTAATTGTCGCAATTTTCAAATGTCAGTGGCTGCAGTTATCTTATCTATGAATAGAATGTCCTCTACGAACAACAAAACAAACAGTCAAAACTGGCTTACCCTGTAGTTAAGAAATTCTACACACATGTTCTGAAATTCATCTAATTCTTTTATTAGTTCAACAATAGTTCAGCCTTCTTTCAATTATTATTGTTGATCCTATTTTACACAAAATTGATATATCCTCAAAAACATACTCAGAGTTGTATTTTGTTTCATTCACACATGTTTGAGTAATCCTTTATTATCAGTCTGTCTGCATCTCTAAAGCTCAAAATGTTCTGCTCCACCTTGTGATGTCATGCAGAGGTCGTTTTCAAGTGAACAGCTCCTTTTACCTTTTGTTAAGTAGAGATTGGAAATTCCAGGGCTTATCCAATTATCCAAATGATTCTAATGAAGGTCTGTGGAGTTTAAAAACACAGGGGAGCACTTTCTGTTTTATCACATGACATCACAAAGTGGAACAGAGTGTTTTCCGTTTGAGAGAAGAACTCAAAATTCACACAAAAAAGCCTAAATTTGCAAGGTTCGTGTATTAAACATGTGTGATTGAAACAAAACACCACTCCAGGTCAGTTTTCGATGAGGAAAGATAACATAGATCAGAAATAACATAATATAGGCTCTTTAAATGTATTAACTCAATTTGGATTTGTATTGTACACACAGTTGTATGAAATCTGTGTACATTTTAGTTTTATGTATATTTTGTATTGTTAACTGCTACAGCAAGAGTCCTAACTTTTCATCATTCTGTAACCCATGCACATTAACATAATCATGCGCTTGTGTCCACAGCGGTGCAGAGGGGCAGAGTCCCTCCCTCTCATGCTGTGATCAGCCCTGGGTCTCTGGGGGCCGGAGTGGGGGGTCCCGGCGTTGGTCACATGGGGCCCGACTACTTCAATGGTCAGCCGGTCTCAGAGCTCATCTCCCAGCTCCTCCGTGCAGAGCCTTACCCCAGCGGACGGTTCAGTGCCCCCTACGGACAGGCGCAGATGCAGGGGTCCGGGGGGGCTTCTGTCATGGGCATAGACAGTATCTGTGAACTGGCAGCACGGCTTCTCTTCAGCACCATCGAGTGGGCCAGAAATATACCATACTTCCCTGAACTACCAGTGTCAGAGCAGGTGAGAAGAGATCATTTTACTTACCATTCACCTTTAATTAAATAAACTATTTTCTTACATACCGTAACCGGTTTCTTTATTGACCTTGTTATAACCAGGGATGAACCAAGTCTCATATTGGTACCAGATATTGGCACGGATTTGGGCTATAAATGAATGCAATAAGTATAATCTTCTGGGTTCGGGAACCCACAGATACTTAAGGCCAAAGTATCAGTATTGGTATTGGAAATAAAAAAAGCTGCGTCAGTGCATCTGTAGTTATTATAAATTTAAGTTGATGCATAAAAAAATGAACTTTTAGAGTGTGGAATAAAAGTCTATAGTTGATATTAGGGATGTAACAATAACCGAAATATCGTGATATCGAATCGTCAAAGTTCTCACGATAATATTGTGGGCCATCACAATATATTGAATTACAAAATGAAGAGATGGTGCAGCAATAGCTAAAAAAAGACAGAGGGAAATACATAGACCATGATCCTTTGCTCCATTTCAGTGTAGACTACATGAAGAAATAACAGTTCTAAGCACTTTTAAGTCTTAGTTCTTTGGATTAAGAAGAAAAAGTAGCGTATTAACAGTTTTTTTTTGCCTTCACAAAATTTTGCAATAAATATCATACCATAAGATGGATATCCTAAAAATATCATACTGAGAGATTTGGATATTTTTATATCCCTAATTGTGAGCCTCCCCACCATATCGTGAGCTTTCACACCATATCGCAATAAATATGGTACAGTGAGGTTCATACCATGATGATATTGTATCGTGAGACTTGGATATCGTTTCACCCCTAGTTGCTATTCAACCAAACTGAACAGATGGTAATAAGCAGTGCACGCAATGATCTAGTAATACTGTGCTCGCATGTATTTAAAAAAATAAAAACATTTAAATAAATACGTTTTTGATTAATAAATATTTGGTATGACCTACAGCGGATCTTGACTCCTTTTTGAAATCTTATACATCAGCTAAAACTATGTCATGATTGAAATCCAGTTGCAAGTCTTCAGCTAGTTTTCACCTGAACATCGCGGAGCTCTGAGTGACTGTTCCTTTCTGTTCCTCCTGTAGGTGGCGCTGTTGAGGCTGAGCTGGAGTGAGTTGTTCATCTTAAATGCCGCTCAGTCCGCCCTGCCTTTGCACATGGCGCCCCTGCTGGCCGCTGCGGGTTTCCACTCCTCACCCATGTCTGCCGAGCGTGTGGTCTCCTTCATGGACCAGGTCAGAGTGTTCCAGGATCAGGTGGAAAAACTGAACCGACTCCAGGTGGACACGGCCGAGTACAGCTGCCTCAAGGCCATCGCCCTCTTCTCACCTGGTCAGTGTGTGTGAATGTGTGTGTTCAGTGTGTGTTCAGTGCGTGTGAATGTGTGTGGTCAGTGTGTGTGAATGTGTGTGTTCAGTGTGTGTTCAGTGCGTGTGAATGTGTGTGTTCAGTGTGTGGTCAGTGTGTGGTCAGTGTGTGTTCAGTGTGTGTTCAGTGCGTGTGAATGTGAGGAAAATAACTATATTAAAGTAAAAGATGTAAAGGTGTAGGCACATTTGGAGCTCTTCTGTTTATAACTGAATGATAATTAATATCTTATAAATGTTGCTTTAAAGATACCATCCATAATTAGATTGACAGAAACCCCACCATGTTGTATTCTCACATATCACCACTAGTTGCTTTCTATATTACTGCTGTCTGATAGTGTCTCAGCTGTTGTCTGACAGAAGACGAGCAGAGAGCACAGGTGAGCCTGAACAAAGGTCAGGTGAAGGGGGGAACAGGTTTCACATTTGACATCTACTAGTAAAAAATTTAAAGAAAATTAACAGATGGTAGCTTTAAAGGTGCATTAACTTAATGATGGCAAGTCTGCTAAGTGCTTGTCTCCATGGAGATGTTATTGCTTTGCCAGAAATGTTCCACAGTATGACAATAAACTTCTCCATGGAGGCAAGTGACACCATCAGACAAACATACCAGATCTGTGGACTCCACTCACAGTAGCTTACATATTATATATTATTACATATTTTGGAGCCCTGAAAAAAGTATTTTTTGATTTCCAAAAAGTCCTTTATTTATGAAGATTACTGCATTTGACTCTTTAATTGTCCCTAAAATAATTTATTTTATTTTATATATATATATATATATATTATATATATATATATTTTCTTTTTAATTAAAAAGTATATTTTATTGTCATAATTTAACTTGAGTGTTGTATACTTTCCCCTTAACACAGTTGAGTACTTCTTGCTCCAGTGGCAGGGTTAATGGACTTAACCTGTTTGACCGCATAGCTTTACTGTAAACTAACGCTGTTTGTGTTTGAGTAAAACACGAGACTCAGAGTTCAAGAGGCTCCAGGGTGGAGAGAGGGTCATGGCAGAACAATAGAGTAAGGCTGTCAAACCTTTGACACCAAGACCAACCAACTAAGAAAATATTTAACAGGTTTAAAATAGGACTGCAGTATTGTAGTTCATAATTAACCCGAAGGAAGACAAGAATGTGGATTAAATTCCCTCTAATTTGATAAGGGAGGGAACTATAGCAGGGTAGCTGCGAGGCCTTAAACATCTTAAAAAAGTCTTAAAATTCATGTTCCTTAATCAAGGCCTTAAAAGTCTTAAATTATGTTGTCCAAGTCTTATTTTTTTCACAAAGGTCATAAATTTCATCAGCCTATTTTTTTGTTTACTCATTGCTGCAGTGCAATGTTAAATGGAGGGAGGGAAAAAAATATGAAATAACGTAACGTGAATGAACATCTAATTGCAAACAATACTTTGGTTTTTGCCGCCGGCAATGAGTAAACAATCAGTTCCATCTACACTGCCCAAGACGCAAAACTCTAGTCAGATCTGCTCATGTCACGTACGCATTTACGTCACATACATCACCACCTAGAGTCACCACCGAGCCGCCTGACATGCGTACCCAATCCAATTCCACACACTTTTGCGTCACCATATGCATGCAGATTTCCTTTCGACTAAACACAGAATAAAAAGTGAAGATGCAACTCCACTTTTGTGTCTTCTGTTCCGACAGTCATCATATAAACGTAGTCTTTGATTCTAGATATAATACCGGTAGATGGTTGGTCATTATTAGAATTAGACCTGGTGTTTTTCACCCGCATAATGAATGTGATGTTGGTCTTAATTTTCAATTAAGTGGTCTTAAAAAGATCTTCATTTCAGAACAGTCTTAAATTTGGGGTAGTCAAACCCTAGTCAAACCGGAGGGTACCCTGTATATAATCATGGGAGATTTACAGTTTTTGCAAAAAAAATTGTCTTATTACATACATTTGTATGTCCAACCAGGATACCAGCTGAACTGATATTTGGAACCCGATATCTGGTCCAGCAAATAACTTAGTATCGAAACCGATATCTGATACCTCATCATTATTTCACATGGTCCTATTCATCTCAAGGTTTAAAGTCCTTTTAACAGACAATCACGCCTTGGGTTGATTAATTGCACCACTTTCTGATGCTATTGAGAAAAAACAATGTCACATGAATTTATTATTAGAAATGTTTGTAAATGAAACATATCTAACCCCTCTCTCGCCTGTCTCCTCAGATGCGTGTGGTTTGACAGACCCCGCCCACGTGGAGTCCCTGCAGGAGAAGGCTCAGGTGGCTCTGACCGAGTACGAGAGGCTGCAGTACCCAAACCAGCCACAACGCTTCGGCCGGCTCCTACTGCGTTTACCTGCCCTCCGCGCTGTCCCCGCTAACCTCATCTCACAGCTCTTCTTCATGAGGCTCGTGGGGAAAACTCCCATCGAGACTCTGATTCGGGACATGCAGCTGTCTGGGAGCTCCATCAGCTGGCCCTACGTCCCCGGACAGTGAAGAGAAGGAGGCGCCAGAGCAGAGATCAGACAAAGAGGATTCACAACACAATAAAAGATTTGTAATATTAAACAAAGCAGACAAGAGTTATGCAGGTGTTTCAGAAGCACTTTTTCATTCTCTGTGAAATTTAACCATAGGGCCAATTCAAACCCGTGGAATAGAAATTACTGATAGTAGTAGGTAGGTAAAAAAACACAGATTAAAGGTGCACAGTGTAACTTTTACAGTAGAAGGTTAAACTTTTGAGAATGAACCCCATCACATTCTAGAATCCGAAAATAGCTTTGCCTTGAATGTTCCACAGTATGGCATTAAATGTATCCATCTCCATAGTTAAAGTAGGTCACACCACCAGGCCAAGTTACAGGTCAGATCCGTGGAGAGGTGACCCCATTCACTGTAAAAATGCATGTTTTTCACCATTTATTTGAGCAACAGAACCACCCAAGCAAGAAAAGTTACACAGTGCACTTACAGTTTCCTTACTTTAAAAGGAAAAGGCAAGTCTAATTTGGATTTAAATGTGCAAAAAACTAAATTTATCAGTGATTTGGAAGATATAGGTGTGAAGGAAAATACAACACCACTTATAAACGATTCTAGCTGGAGATTTCTTATTCTCATTTCTAGATACTGTATATTAGCAGCACTTGTAAGTCCTCTGTCTGATCTCTGGTGCTCTGGACAAACATAAATACAGACTGTAAAAGGCTACATGCCATCTCTACCTCCTCCGACCCCCCCCTCTCTCTCTTTCCCCCTCTATCTCTCTCTCCGTGTGGACCCAAGCCGAGTTTCACTGAAGCCATAGCAGCCCTATTTTCAGGCCTCTACATTGTTTTAAAGCTTGTGGGACACAGACGACAGACTTTGTTACCAAATGTATTTCTGAAGACTGCAAAGGATCATTTTGCACAACAACACATAGGCAAAATAATAATTAGAATAATAATAATGTTGTATTGCAATGTAGAAGGCCCCATGACCAGACTGGACCACCAAAACATACCGTATAGTATTTCGCTCACGTCAGTACTGTTTGAACTAGAAAGAGACACGTAAATCCCCAGATATTTAGTTTGGGCTGACCTACTGCTTAAAGATGTACTATGTAACTTTTCTGGTCCGCTACCTGCTTGTCTCCATGGTGACAAGATTGCACATTATAATGATAAAACTGATCTCTCCTCATGTAAAGGAGCGGGTGATTCTACATACTAAGGCCTAGTTACAGGTCAGATCTGTAAAGAGGCAACTCCAAACAAGCAGGCAAAGTACAACATCTCACCAGAAAAGTTACACATTGCAGCTTTAAAGGACAGATATAAAGAAAATACAGATATAAAGAGAAAAAAAGGACAGATATAAAGAAAAAAATGTGATGACACTGCTCCATTATTGTTAAAACACAACTGTGGATGTCTAAAGATTATCTTTATTTCAATTTTTTTAATGTTTTAAGCAGAGTAGTGTACAATTTAAGCAGTAACTGTAATTTGTTGTCATTTCAAATCACAATTTTTCTACATATCGACCCAAAAATATCGCAAAGTGGAGTCTAAAATATTGCGATCATGAAGAAAACTTATATTTGTCTCTAGTTTTAACCTTCATTTAGTCATTCTACACTTTTTTTTTTAACATATCTAATCTTTCAGAGTGATCAAAAATCAGGACAGTTGCCATAGCGATTAACTATTTAAAACAAAAATGTATGCATGCAACAAGAATCTGAAGTATGCAATTTAGTTTCAATACTAAACGTACGCTCATAGCATCTTCGCATCATCTTTGTGTAAATTTTGTACTCTTAAAACTTGGCATGCCTGACCACAAACCACTACGGAGTATTACAGTGAAAGCGTAGTCTTACAGCGCCCCCCAGTGGTACGAGTGGAGAAAAAACACTTTGCAAGTTGAATGTACAGCTGCTCCCGGACAGTTCCATCCTGTCTGACTTTATTACCTCATATTTTATACATGTTGATTGTACAGAGAATACTCATGTGCTTAAGATAGTATAAAGGGATCAAAGTATTTTCAAAAATGTCTCCATGCTTTTAAATGTGAATATCGGTTTTGAAGAAGCGGTACCCAAAGTTTGACCCAAAGTTATTTTCAAAAATTCTCAACAGTTTTATAAAGAAAGCATTTGACATTTTTGTAATTTTGTGGATGCCTTTCATAACAGATTGTGAATGTTTTTAAAGTTACGAGGTTGTGTGGTACAATGTTAAATTCTTATACTTGATTTTATATGCCAACATTTGACTTTTGTTTTGTTAAAGCTGCTCTATGTAACTTTTCTATCTGTTGGAGAGTCTAGCGCTTGCCCGTTTCCATGGAGACGTTATTGCTTTGCCTAGAATGTTCCACGGTATTGCATTAAACGTATCAATCTTGCATTCTTACTGTGATTGTGCTCGCCTCTCCTCAGACCTGACCTGTATCTTGGGCTTGTTGTGTCACCCGCTTGTCTCCGTGTATGTATAAAAGAATAAGATCATACTGTGGGACATTCTAGGCAAAGCAATCTCCTCGGAGACAAGAAAAGTTACATATTGGAGCTTTAAATTGTAAAAACAACACTGGCTACGACCCCTTGCTGATCGTGACAGCATTTTCTCAGAGAATTGTGTTATTTGTCAAATTATTAACTTGAGTGATTTGTCTGTGTTTCTTTGTGTTTTATGAAAATGCCAAACTTCAAAAATGCAAATTTGTTTGTATTTCTGGACATTTTTGAATTTTGAGAAATAAAAATATGCAGATTTCTTCAGTGTGAGTGGTGTGTGAATGCAAAACTGACATCAACACGGACATACACAAAATACAGTCAACAGTACTTTACAAAATGGTGGTTAAGTCTCTGTTACATTTATTTATCTATCTATCATTTTATCTTTTCAGAGTTTATTTCTATGATGCTCCACTTTTAGTTCCTCTTCAATGTGAGTAAGTGACAAAAGCTTTATGTTGACAATATGAAATGATTTGAACATTCACTGTAAAATCTAACACTAGGGTTCACTTGCATTCAGCTCATTTACTTTACTCACAGCAACTGATTTGTGGATCTTAATGATTGCGGTCAAGTAACAGTTACTTTCCGAGCGAAAAAAGCACATTACTTGTCAATAAGACTTAAGGTCAACTTGAATGAGGCAAGTAACTTCAACAGTGATGTGTTATTGCCAAGAGTCCAGCTCCATTTCCCAGTCTGTTCTGGTCCTCCTTTTACCTCCCTGTTTTTCCTACAGCTGCCCTGATCCTCCCAGGGCGTCTCTATATCCTCCCTCTGTTCATTCAGTCTTTGCTAGATTACACCTTTTGTTTCCTCCAGCATTTTTTTCAGCCTTAAGTTCAGGGCCTTGGTTGTGTTGACGTGGAATGACAAAGCTTTATTATTTTATTGTTACACATGTTACGATGTGTTTGAACTTAAACTGAACAAAAGTTTTGCTATGTTTTTTTTTCAAACACTAATAAATATTCAAATCCTTGTGTACCTGATGCAGCTCTTACTGCAGAATTACATCACTGTAGAACAGAACCTGTTTCTACTCTAACTTGTGTATAGAAGTAATATTTACTTGCTCAATTCAAGTCAAGGTCCAAGGTTTTACCAAGTTACTCTTAAAGTAAAGGTTACTACATATTTCAGATTTGAGGAACTGACTGAGTAGTTGGCACAGCTTCACAACATGAAATTTATGAATGAAAACTAAAGTACACTTCATTGCTGTGCCTAGATCATTGAAAGAGGAATTTACTGTTCACTACACTGAGGAAATACTTGGAAGCTCGGCTTTAGATTCACAGTCCAGTTTAGTCAAAGGCAATTAACTTCCTAGGATTTTTCATGTAAAATCTACTTATTAGATTCTAGTGTTTGTGTTTATTGCACCGCTCCTTCAGATACAGTGTTTGACAAGTTATAGTGAAAAAGTAAGTCATAAGAGTATTTAAGAGTATTTTAATTAATCAGATTACTGGTCACTAAATTATGTATACATCTGATGTCCTCAACATATTCTGAAGATAACTCTCTGTCTGAGGTTTTATTAGACTTGAATCTGAGCTTCATTTGAACACAATCTAACCATAAAGAACTGACTTAGTAGGAACTAAAAGAAACAGGTGAGATGATTTGTTAAACAAGTCTGTCACACCTAATATTACAGTCACCAGCTAGTTAATATTAACCAAGAGTAGGAGTTGTGCACACATGGATTATGAAATGTATTACAGTAACTTTGGTCTGCATTTTGATCTTAAGCAAGAACATGTTTTTCTTATTTGAAAATAGGGGACTTACAACATCTCAGCCTCTTCTAATGTACTGTGTTTTGTATATTATCCTTAATCTATAACCTATTTTTCTTCACAGTCATATATGAAAGAAAAAGTCAATGCAAAAATACTAGGGATAATAACTCAGTTCATATCTGGTTGTTTTTTTTCCCATTCTCGTGGTTTATCCTTTGAGGATACCTAATTGTGTGTAATTATTTACAAGACAGAAGAGGAGTTGAGTTTTTTGCAGAAAACCTTTGACAACATATAAAATTACACATAATTAGAAATGTTTATTATGTAATGAATTCAAATATCTTCAGACAACATGGAACAAAAAGTAACAAAAACATGGTATTTCAAACAAAGCAAAAAATAAAGAAAATAAATTCATACAAAAATAAATGGCTCACGAGTGGTTTGTAAAATGAAAAAATGTCCTTCGTTTACAAAAAAAAGAAAAAAAAATATGCACCAAAAATCAACAGTTTAAATGTACAGCAGATTAACAAAGATTAGAGACAAATTATCAGAGTCGTTACAGATGGAAGAGCTTATTGACGAGTGAACACTACTTTGACATTTAGATTATGACATTTTTAGAACGTTAAACTCCAACAAATTTAGAAAAAAAAAAAAAGAATTTAAAGTGGGACTAAACACCTAAACTCCGCCCACAAAAAAAATATTTCAAATAGAGCTTCTAACCCGGACAGTACGTGAAAAGAGTGAAAGGAGGAAGAGGGGCGGGGTCTGGAGGTATAAGGAACAGTGTGATTGGTCAAAGAGATCTCCACACTTCACACTCCGTCCCTACACCTAGCTGTAATCAGTGCAGTCCTGTGTAATGTCACCAGCAACTTGAAGTTGTAGAGGCCACTGAAGGCAACACAAAGCTGCATACTTATTTCCTGTCCAGCCAGAACAACACACTTTGAGAAAACTTCGCAACGTCTGGATCTGGAGCCGTGTCCTGTCTCCCTGATTTCAGAGACAGTGATTGACATGTGGATTAACCAATCAGAGAGATGCATGCTCTATTCCCATAAAAAAAAAACATAGCTGCATACCTGAAAAAAAGGTGAAAAGGAGAAAAAGTCTCCATGAAGGACTGAAAAACAGTGCGGATTTTTATCGCATTTTGATCGACAATCAAAGCACCAAACTTACTTATTTCAGGTAAAAGTTTATTTGTTATATTTAGTTCTGAATGTTACGAGATTTATGGAGATATCTTCCACATTTGAGATGTTTTTCATGCTCTACAGTCTGGTTCCAGTCCCTTCTACATTGGGAGTGGCTGGTCAGGGAAGCAAATTTACCTAGTTTGCACTAAAATTGCCAAAAATGACGAAGAACGGGAACATCATATACACAGTTTAGAAGCAAAACAACGGTGATTTAGTGTTTAGTTCCACTTTAAGACACTTTTTGAATGTTAAACTCCATTAATTAACTACAAAATATAGTATTTATACCATTCGTTTGAACATATTACATTGTTTTTTTAAAGTAATGATAATAAACAAGACATTTTAAAGATGTTGGTTAAGTGATCGATATAAAAATAAAATCTTTTTGGCGGTTGCTCGGTCTCACTCACTGCAGTTATGACAAAACGAAAATGAATGAATGAATTTACTGCACAGTTCTCCACAACATTATGAATAAAAGAGCATTCTGGTCTAGTCCTGATCAATTTTTAAGAAGGTACCATAATGCAACTAAGTAATGCAAAAATGTTATAAAATTATTGCTATCTAATAAAGTTATGCATATTTATTTATGTTCCTTATATCAGTGCACACTTTATCTGCTGAGAACAAAAAAGTTAAAAGGCCCATGTTACACTATTTTCTGATCTATGTTATAATGTTATTTCCGCATCAAAATCAGACCTGGAGTTGTGTTTTGTCCCCATACACTTTCACTAGAAACAGTTGGATGATTTCAGCTCTGGAACTGCAAATCTCTACTAAACAAAAAAAAAAAAAAGGAGCTATTAACTTGAAAACTACCGCTTCATGACATCACAAGGTGGAATAGAGTGTTTTGAGCTTTGGCGATGTAGACAGATTAATAATAAATGATCACTTAAACATATGAATGAAACAAAACGCAACTCCAGGTCTGTTTTTGATGAGGTAATAATATTCTAACATGGCTCAAACTTCACAAGAATCAATTTTGTGTGCTGTACTAGGACCTTTAATAAGTTATTGCTACTGAACCACTAAACCAGACTTAAATACAATCCAGTGTTTTTAAATATAGTTATTGATTATCTATGCAAACACGCCTTTTATGTTTACAATTACTGCAAATGATCATGTGAACATTCAAAACAAAACTCATTTTATTTTTGTTTTTAAATTGATGCAGGCATTGCCTTTATTACCACAGGTTTAGTATATTATCCTTGATATTGTAGATGTAACTAATTTCTATTTTGTTTTATTTTGTTAATGGAGATGTTAATAAAACAATAAAAAATAATACAAATATGCTACTTCTACTTCAAATAGTTAAAATCAATAAATTACAATTATGCTTTGATGAAGGCAACAACGTCTTATATTTGGAGTTTGCTGTTATCTGCTTTGACATCAGATATACAGTATGTAAACAAAATCCAGTACAAACTTGTTGTCAGTGGATACGGAATCTGCTAAAGGTAATTTGTTCTGCATTATTTAGGCTTTGGGCACACTATGGAACATTTCTGGTTATTGCTTTACATGGAATGGAATGCTTTACTAGGGATGTAATGATATCCAAATCATATATCATGATATTATCATGATATGCATCTCACTGTACGATATTTATTGCAATATTTTGTAGACACTAATATAATTGTAGATGGGACACTTTTTAGCTTTTAAAATACCTTGACAAGATTTTGGTGTGTATTATTACTGTGATAATCCCAATAATTCAAGTAAAAAACGTATTTCTTCACATTGTCTGCACTGAAATGAATCATGTAGTTCCTTATGTTTATAAACTGTTGCTAGAATAAAACCATGCATTTAAGCATAGGAACTTGTAATTTGATATATTTTGACAGCCCACGATATTATTGTGAGAATTTGATGTTGCAATATCATGATATTTTGGTTATTGTTACATCCCTACAGGCTACCACCTTGAAAAAGCCTGATTCTTCTTCTTGTCTGATCCATGAAGCTAAGCAGGGCTCGGCCTGGTCAGTGTTTGGATGGGAGACTGAAAATAGTTAAAATCAATAAATTACAAATAACTGTTTACTGACTAAATTACTAATTTTGATCAAGGCAACAATATCTTATTTGGAGTTTGCTAAAAGTCCACTTTGACATGAGATACACAGTATGATGTGCATGTAAAAAAAATCCAAACTTGTTGTCAGTGGATACAGAATCTACTACTAAGGTAATTTGTTCTGCATTATTTAAGCTTTGGGCACACTATGGAACTTTTCTGGTGAGAAAACCTGATCTTAGCTAAACAGGGTTGGGCTTGGTCAGTACTTTGATGGGAGACTGCTGAGAATAAAAGGTATCACAGTGAAACTGCAGTGACTCTAGTGTAGGGTGACCAGATTTTCAAAATTCTAAACTGGAACACTCCCGGGTTTGGATGGTTGATATAAATAAAATTGTGAAAAGAGAGTGTAATATTGTGCAATCTCGTGTCAGTCATAATCTGAGGGACTTTCATTGCCTTTTTTTGCTTTATGGTCATTTGCAAACATAGTTTTCTGTATTTTGGCTAAACAAATGACAGTTTATGCTTCTCTTTACTGTTGGCAGGGATCAGATTGGTCAAACATTGTGATAGTCCTGTTTTAGTCCTGGTTTACACCTGATGTAGTCATGGTTTAGTCTTAGTTTAGTCTTGATTTAGATCAAATTGGTCAAAAATAGGGACACCTGAGACATTTCTTGTATAAAACTGGGACAAATCACAGGTTTTAAATAAATCTGCTGGGACAGGGGACACAGGACTCAAAAGTGGGACTGTCCCGGGTAAATGAGGACGGTCACCCTACTCTAGTCGATACTGTTGTTGTTGTTGTTCTTTGGCAAGACACTTCATCCTTCTTGCCTTGTACTATGAATACCCTGTGTGAGTGGGCGTTGGTGGTTCTGTCAGTCTACCCCAGGGCAGCTGTGGCTACAATAGTGCATTAACTCTATTAGTGTCCAGAAACACAATGCATAGTTATATTATGATCAAAATGAAATCAAAAGGTGGTGTCAGAAAGTGTTTTGAGATTAAATATTCAGATTTTACATGCACAAATGAAACATCAGTCATGTTTTTGAAGAAAAAACAATATTATAATGTAGTAATAAGCGAAAAATACATTGATTTTGATATGGAACCCTTACATTGGCAGTGCTACTGTTTTGAGCTCTGTTTTAGTCTCATTTGCATTTAACTGTCCATATTCTTCAGTTAAAATGAGCATGATCACACACAGTGGTAGTGTTACTTTGGTCTGGCCTCTGAAGAGGGGGAGTGTAGTTGTTTTGTTCGCATCTCGGGGGCTGGCTTCACGAGTGGCTCTTGTCGTAGTTTTTCACCATTCGCTTGATGTGGAACAGTTTGTGTCTCAGTGTGCGGCTGTGTTGCTTTTTCTCCTGGTATTCTGGTGTCTGTGAAAAGTAAACAACAAATTTAAGTTTGAATAAGTAATATATTAAAGGTACATTGTGTAACTTTTCTGGTGGACTGTCCGTCAAATCCTTTTCTAAATGTTATTGCTTTGTCTGGAATGTTTCACAGTATGATTTTAAACCATTCTATCTTATTGGAGACCAAACCAGACCAAGTTACAGGTCAGGTCAGAGCTGGGGAGAGGTGACCCCGCTCACAGTCAGAATGTTTGTTTTTCTAGGTATTTTTGAGCAATGAAACCACCTATAACTGAATAATTGTAAAGTAGAGATGTTTAATGTCATACTGTGGAACATTCCAGGCAGAACAATGATATACTCATAGAAACAAGAAGGAAAGTACATCTGGTCAATATTTAAAAAAACAAAAACAAAAATATAGGACATAACACTGAGATCTAAAACAGAATCCCTCTACCAAAAATGCAATGCCCATTTACACACAAGGAAAAAAAAAACTTGAATAAAATAGGCAATTTGAAGTAAGTAAAGTAAAATAAATGAAATGAATAGGGATGTAACGATATCCAAATTTTTCGGTATGATATTTTCTCTATATGCCTCTCACAATACAATATGTATTTCGATCTTTGGTGAAGGCGAACAAAACTGTGAATATGCTACTTTAAAAAAAAAAAAAAAAAAAAAAAAACCTTCACAAGACTTTGGTTTGGTCATCATCCAAAGAACCGAAATTTAATAAGTATTATTATTATTATTATTATTATTAGCAGTTATGTCTTTATGTAGTCTGCACTTCAACAGAGCAAAGTATTATGGTCTATGTTGTTCCCTCTGTTTTTTTTTTTTAACTATTGCTGCACAATAACTATGAATTTAAGCAAAGAGACTTGTAATTCGATATATTGTGATGGTCCACGATATTATTGTGAGACTTTTGACGATATGATATCACGATATTTTGGTTATTGTTACATCCCTAGAAATGAATGACTAAATCATTACATTTTAGTGAAGTTACTCATATGGACTTTAAAGCTGCACTGTGTAATCTTTCTGGTGCAGAGTTTGTCATCTGCTTGGTTCTATGGACGTCATTGCTCTGTCTGAAATGCTTCACAGTATGACATTAAACAGTTCTTCTTTACATTTATTCAGTTACAGGTGGTTTTATAGCTCAGAATACTTAGAAAAACAGGCCCTCTGACTGTGAGTGGGGTTGTCTCTCCACTCCTTTAATGCCATACTTTGGGACATTCCAGACAACAAAATAACATCTCCATGGAGAAAAAGCTTCTAACGGGCCCTCCAACAAAAAAGTTACACAATGCCTTAAAGAACATTTGTCTAGAGTACTGAAGTGCGCTGTTGTGTGTTCACTCACCCGCTTGAGGTCTTTTAGTTGATTATACTCCTCTGCAACAGCCTGAGGAAAAACAACCATTAGAGCATTAAAGTCAGTCGTAACACATCCATATATAGAAAGATAACACAGTAAAATGACACCTGTCCAATATAAAATTATATATTTATAGAGTGACCTTTAATCCTTAGATGCGTGATTATTATAATACGAACTGTAACTGCCTTGGCAACACAAGCAACAAATAAGGAAACAAAGGCTGTATTCACCCGGCACTAACACTGAATGGTCACAAAATTAGGTATTTTAAGGTAAGGTTGGGCAGATGTTTTTTTAATGACTTTTTTTGATAGGGCTGAGTATTGATCACAGTTTAACTGGATCATGATCAAATCAGTTCTAACAGAAGAAAGCAGAACGAGCTCCTCACTTTGTACTTACTACAAGTAAAAACAAGTCTGAGACCAATTCACACAGAATATTTAAGATATGATGGACTCAATTTTCAATTATAATCCCACAAGGCACATATTTGTATATATATGTAAATATGTACATGCATTTGACATATATATTATGTATACCAGTGTGTGTTAAATGTGAAAAAAACATGGATTCCCAAGGAAGCTGGGGAGCTTGTGTATATAAAGTCCATCACCACAATGTGACTGATTTAGTGGATTGACAGGTTATTCTTTTATATATATTTTATATTCAAATCCTCAAAGTAGCCACTAGACACCCTTTGCTTTGTCTAGAAATATTCAGTAGATATTATATCAGTTTTTCTTTACTAAATTTTTTTCTTTACTATATAATTCATATTGTGACTCATATATTGATTGACTGATTTGTTTTTATTTTGAGTTTGTGCCAAGAGAGAACCAATAATCATAAACGTACTACATATATATTGTAAACAACAGAGAAGCACATTTTTTGAAAAGGAAGAAAGAAGAAAAACTTATATTAACCCACCCAAATACACATATATACACATACAGTTAAAAAAATTATGTGGTTGCTTATGTACATTGATCATGAAAGGATTTAGATTTCCATTTGTATCTAACATAAAAAAAAAAACTCTGAATGAGAGGGTTTTGACTTTTGACTGGTGTTTCTGAAATTTTTTATCAAAATCTTATATACTGCCCCGTTAAATTCCTAAAATAAAATAGTGTAACACATGGAGCAGTTTCACAGCTAGTAGTATTACCAGGCTTGTACCACTAGATGGAGCTGCACTCTCTAACTCACTCAAACAGGAAGAGTCTATCCCTGTCTATAAACCATTAACCCCATGCACAGTCCCACATCCTCCGCGTTTCTGACCTGGTATTTGTCCGAAGTATCGTCCAGTGTATCCAGCTGCCTGCTCAGTTTGTTCAGCTGGTCGTTGATGTCGTCCATGTCTGCACACATTCTTTTATACTCCTTCAAATCTGCGTCAAACTCCGCCTTGTAATCATGTCTCTGGGAATCCGAGGTGATCTCTGGGTACATCCTGTAAAAATGAGCAGAGGTGAGAATGAGAGGTGAGAAAGTTCAGCGAGGTCACCCAGTAAGTCATTTTATTATTAGATTATTGTACATGATCTATGCCCATGTTAAGCTGGTTACCATGCTAAGCTTAAGGGGAGATTTAGAGCTATAATTGACTAACATATCCCCCACTATTGGATTGAGTTGGTGCTGTGGGAGCTGTGGGTTCAGACTGGAAACTGGATGGAAATGTGTAAAGAAAAAAATGTTTAAATGCAGAGTATGTAACTTTTTGGAGGTGGCACGTTACCGGTAGCGGATTCCATGGAGGTTTTATGCCATGCTGTAGTAGATTATCGCCACAGGAATAACGCTCACATGGAAATGAGCAGGAGGACTTTTTATTCTTGTCTTTTTTTTTCTTCTTTTGGGGGGGCTAAAAAGTAACATATTGTGGCTTTAACAGAATTGTATTTTCTTGTTGCGTTGGTTCTATACAACTTGCCACTTTAATGTCCTAATGGAGATAGCTTTACCTCAAATGTTCCACAGTATAACATTAATCTAGTCACGCTTATATGATATTTTTTAAGCAATAAAAACAAAAATAACTGAATTCTGAAGTGTGAAGTTTTGAATTTTAATGCTCTACTGTAGAACATTTCAGGGAAAGCAATAACATCTCCACGGAGACAAATATGCAGCAGATCTTCTGCCAGAAAAGTGACACAGTGCACCTTTTTAATACCCTTTGGCAGGACTGCACGATCTTGAGAAAAATGTTGACAAGATAGAGATAAGATTTGTGTTGTAAAAGCAGGATTCTGTTCAGATTGCACATTGTCAAATTTAGTGAATACCGTAAAATTTCAGAACATGCTCTAAACTACAGGTACAATGAGTTTTCAATAAAAAGACAGGCTATTTTTTTCATTGTTCTATCTATAATCTAAATAATAGCAGCCTTTAAAATTTGATAATTGCACCAACTCACATTCAGAACACTTTGGCATGGTTTTATCCGCTTCATTCACATAACTATTAACTGATATGAGCTGAAGTTTTGTACCTTTGGCCCAGTTCTTTGGTTTGAACTGACTGGGACTGGCATGCCTCAGGAGATTAAACCCTCTCCTCACACTACAGCAGACCAAAGCAGTTTTTCCCATAGACATTTGTGCAATAATAAGACTCTAATCTCATGTAATTTAGATGTGTATGATAAAACTATACCACAGCATTGAGTCAATTGTCAAGAGGGACTGGTTATTTCTAAATCTGAGTATTGAGGTCTTATCCCAAAGGACTCTGGGAATTGGAGTGCAATCTGTCTCCCTCTGCCACATAACATTCATATTTCAGACAGTTTAAAGGCAGCTTAAAGTACACTTCTGACTGTATAAGGACTATGCAAGTACATTACTGTAAGAGGGGATTTGTGGTTTATTCTGTACATAGCAGCACACTGTAAGGTCACAGGTTATCACAGAACAAGGTGAAAAGGATCAAAATATCAGCTATTTTTGGTCAAATCGTGACGATTTAAAATTACTTAGGTAGCATACACCTCTTATAATGTATTTGTAGTTTTGTGAATCATGTTAAAGGAATAGTGAAATAAAGTAGTGGCTTTGCTTCAATATTTTGGGGACCGAATGCAGGCCAGAACTGTATTTATCAAATGATTATATTTACTTATTATTTTATCTTATTTTCTCTGTGCATATATACACATTTATAAACTTGCGTCTTCTTTGCATTTTTGGCAATATATTGTTTCACAACTACTTTAATGCTAGGAGTAGAAACAGGTATTTTGGTTAAGATTATGACTTTTGGTTATGACTTTTGGGACAGGTTTAGAAACTGGGTCTGGGTGAATTTACGAGAATCCTTCAGCTTTGTATATTTGTGGAGAGAAAGATTTCTGTGCTTTTCATTCTGGTTTTAACAAAAGTTAGACTTTTCATCTTGTTCCACTGTCCAATGACACTTCAATCAGCTTTGAACGTTTGCTTAAAGGGCTCATGTTACGCTGTTTTCTGTTATAAGCCTCGTTTCCATAGGGCCAGTACGGGACGAGACAGCATGGACCATGAGTGTTTCCATTGCATAAAGCAATCAGTACCGCCCTCTTTTAGGGGTCCAAAGCATACGGCTGGAGGTATTACTTTCCAAAGTGGTCTGGAATGGCTGGGACCCGGGACCGGTTCGAAAGGAGTGATGCTTCCCTCAAGCGGTTCAGCACTCCAAAAGTGCCAACATGGAAATAGTGAATGAAACAAAACACAACTCCAGGTAAGTTTCTGAGGAGGTAACAACATTGTAACATGGCTTAAATCTCACAAGAGTCAATGTAGTATATAGGCAATATAGGACCTTCAAATGTGTAGAATCGGAGATGGAATGAAACTACCTTCATAACATCTCATATTCGACTTTGGTTGTGCTTGCAGTATCTAAAACAAAATCTAGATCGCGCTACACACTGCAGCTTTTTATTTGGCAAATCAAAGGTAGATTGCGTGTCAGTTTATCAACGCATTTGTTTATACTGACCTGTCCCACTCCTCCATGTCCAGCTCATTGCCCGTCTCCCCCCCGGTGGTGTACTCCGTCTCGTACTGTGACTCCTCCCAGTCGGGGTTCCGTCGGCGTCTCTTTCCTCGGTGGGCGGACGGTTTTCGGGTCGTGGTCTCGTCTGAGGATCTGGAGCTGATCCGACCCTGGGACACTACAGAGGGACGGGTCAGTCTCTCTGTGTATCTGCACAAACACAAGGACAAGGGTTAAAAGTAAGTCCAGTTGTTTTGATTCAATTTAGTTTTAGTCCAGCTGGATGTCTCAAGAATTAGCTCCCGATATAAGCACTATGATGTTTTTTTGTAGCTGTCCCTATATATAAAAAAAAAAAAAGGCATTCTGTGTGGAGTTTGCATGTTCTCCCTGTGTTACCATTGTATACTCCAGATTCTCCTACCACTAAAATAATGTACGAACGGCTCCCCTCTGGCACTTCTACTTGAGTAATATTAACGTTATGGTAGCTGTGCGTGAGTAGTGTTTTTGTCAACCCCCACCTCCATAAACGGCCCTGGACATTTTAATAACAGAGGAAACATGCTTCATTTTGTCGGATGGAGGGATTTACAGAAGAATCCAAATCCTGCTGCAGATATGAGACTGACAGAGGCCTCAGGATTCCTCTGCCTCAACAAACAGCACAATATACTGTTTATAGTTGATATATTAACTACAACCTTTTTACTGTTTTTGTGGGCTTTGCTAAAGATTTAAAGATAACCTATTGTGCTTGTTTCTGCTATGTTGTTATAATCTATGACATCTGTGAAGCACTATGTTATAATTTTGGCATTTTAAATCGCAATATTCATCTAAAATTATTTATTAAAATGAACAAGTTTGCTGATTTCTGTGTTAGAAAATGACAGTGCCCATAGGGAGCTGATGTTGCTGTAAACGTCACCACATTAGAATCTGCAAGTACCAAAAAGAATATCCAACGCTGTTGAATCAAAGGTGTATCACTGATTAAAACATTTAATTGCAGAACAAAAGTACATAGCAGTGGGTTTGTGCTGGTGCCAATGAAAACAGAGGTTGTTTTGAAAATATGTAATATAAGATTGAGGAGAGGAAAAGTCCAACTTTTTGTGAGATGGTTTGCATCTTCCTCTGCCTTTTGGGTGTGAGCACAGGAGTCTTTAGGGTGAAGTATAGTTCTGCGTCGACTCAACGCGCACTGCAGGCGTCGCCTTGTTGCCATCGTTTTTCATTTATGGATCTGCGTCGAGGTCTATGCATCGCAAAGTAATTCACCGCCAAAACGCTAGGGGGCGACGATATATGTCCATTCATAATTCATATATACAGTCTACCTGCAGATGTATAATCTCTGAAAAGTTTAACATGAACCATCTCTAACGCAATAAAAGCACAGAACAGACTCACCATTAGTACAATATCCCTCTGTCACAGAAAGAACACACATATTCCACTGAGTTGTTTCCTTTTTAAGACTGTGTCCTTTTTATACAGAAGCTAAACCGCGTCAGGGCAAAAGGAGCGAGCTGTTTTTTGAGCACGTTGTTTATGCTAATTAGCTAAGCCATGACGCAGACGATTTGACGCTGGACCGTAAATTGGCCTTTTGTCGGTGCAGAACATTGCGTCGACATTGTGAGTTTTGTCAGGCACTTCAGAATCACAGTGCTAGAGATCCAACATTTATGTAAATTTGGCAAACTGAACACATTCTGTACTGAGACACGGCACAGAGGAGATTGATTGACAATGATCTACAGTCCCTTAGCCAGTTAGGAGGGACACAATGCGTGTTCATAGGCTGTTAAAAAAAATAAAATAAATTGCATGCAAAATTGCTAAAAACAAAAAAAAAGTGAAATCAAATTTTCAATCAAATCAAATCAAATCAATCAATCTTATTTAAGCGCTTTGGGTATCTTGAAAGGCGCTATATAAATGCTATCAATCAAAAAGCGTGGCCGCGAAAGGTGAACCGTTTTATAGTGAGGGATGACTGTACAGAGGGTGCTCCACTGTGTTTTTAAACTCCATACACCTTCACCAGAATCATTTGGATCATTTCAAGCCTGGAGTTGCCAATCTCTACTGAACAAAAACTAAAAGGTAGTTGTTAACTTGAAAACTACTATCATTTCAGTGGTGGAACTGAGTATTTTCAGCTCTGGAGATGTAGACAGACTAATAATAAAGGGTTACTCAAACATGTGTGAATAAAACAAAACACAACTCCAGGTATTTTAGGAGGTAATGACATTCTAAAATGGCTAAAAGCTCACAAGAGTCAATTTTGTGTAATATAGGAACTTTAATGTTCAAAAATATCAGTTATCAGCTACAACAACAAGAATGAATGAATGACAAAACACTAGAGTACCACATTACTCAAGTCAAGAGTATATGACATGTTTTGCAGTTGAATTAGTCATTACCTTAAACCAGGTCAGTACAGATCAAAATAGCTTTTAAAGGGCTGTTTCAAGAGGCTGTTAAGTGTTTTCATGTCTCTTCTATTCTCAGTACAGTCCAATAAACACGAGTTCATCTGGCAGCAGCTCAAAGGTCTCAGCTTGTAGTTGGGACTTGGACAATATGTTTCAATGGGTTTAAGCACAGACTGTGATTAGATATGGCTGCACTGAGTCACGTGGTTCAGTGTGAGCAGGTCAGTGTAATAAAGTCTGAAGGGATGAAACTTACAATTACTTTAGTAGCGGACTAGTCAACGAGTATTTTCAATTGAGTTTAAGTGTAAAGGTCCCATATTACATTATTTTCTGATCTATGTTATAATGTTGTTTTCTCATCACCTGCAGACCTGGAGTTGTGTTGTGTTTCATTCACATGTTAACACACACTCATTTAGGCTGAGTGCTTCTCTCAAACTAAAAACACTCTGTTCCACCTTGTGATGTCATGTGATAATACAGGAAGTGCTCCAAAGTGTTTTTAAAATCCATATACCTTAACTAAAATTATATGGATAATTTCAACCCTGGAATTTCCCATCTCTACTCAACAAAAGGTAAAATGTAGCTGTTTGAGGAGGTAACAACATTATAATAGGGCTGAAAGTTCACAAGAGTCACTTTTGAGTAACATAGGACCTTTAAAATACCTGAAGCATTGTTGAGTGAGTGACAGGTGGATTTAACCAATCACAGTGAAGTGTGACCTATCAGCGTAGGGTCATGGTTTACATCAGGGGTCACCAAACTTTTTTTCTCTGGGGACCAAATTATGGCTCCTGATTGTGATGGGGGCTGGGCTCGGGTCAACAGAACTGTATGACCCTGACCCTGACGACGCAGATTATATTCTTTGAAAACCGCCACACTTTCTTTACATGCACAGTCCTTACACTGAACATAAAAAATAATCAGTCATCCACTGTTCTTTGAAAAATACACACTGTCAAATTTTCATACTTTAACACTAGTCATTTTGCTGTCCTTAACTGCGCCACAGAATGTGCATGCATTGACTGTCACTGTTTGATCTCGAGCTTGTCAGGTGACGAAAATCTCCCACACCTATATTTATTTTATAAATTTCCTCAATATTAACATGGTATTGTAACTTTCTGGAGGTGGAACATCACCTGCTTGATTTCATGAGAACAGAAAGTTTAAATAATATTTTAGAACATTGTGTCCATGGAGATAGTTAAGTTTTAGACCATACTGTGGAATCTTTTAGCCAAAGGAACAATATTTCTGTGGAAAAATCCAAATTTCTTATTACAGAGAGAGCCCCTGTAAGCACGTTCCCATATTAACAGTGGGGCTCAGTGTATACACAGGGCGTGACTCACTCATTGTTGTTGAAGGTGTCCCCATCAAAGGAGCCGATGTCCGTTCTGGCCGCGGGGTAGGACAGCACGCTATTGGCTGAGGCGTTGAGAAGCCCTGCCCCCTTCTCGGACACCAGCAGAGTGGGAGCGTCCTGTATACTGCGATTTTCCTCCACATTGTTCACCTACAGCGGAGAGGAAACAGGAACTGACTCAGCAAAAACACAAATAAATAGCAAAAAGGAGCAGAAATCTCACTCAAATAAAAGTAGTTCAGTTTATGCCAAGGTCTTTAAAGGTGCACTGTGCAACTTTTCTGGTGGAATCCCCTCTCGTGCTTGTCTCCATGGATATGTTTTGTTGTTGGTATGACATTAAACACATCTATCTTGCTTTTATTCATTCCACGTGTTTCTGTTGCTTAAAAAAAATACAATAATTCTCTCTGTGAATAGGGCCGACCCTCCACAGATCTGACCTGTAATGTAACCTGTAGTCTGTTGTCTCACTTGAGATAGGTTTAATCTCTACTGTGGAACGTTCTAGACAAAGTAAGAACATCTCCATGAAGACAAGCAGGTAGCGGACCCTCCACTGAAAAGGTTACACAGTGCACCCTTAAAGTTGTAGTATGTAACTTTCTGGCACAATTCCATGGAAATATAAAGTTAAACCACACTTCGAAACATTCTCCAAAAGATACAGATGTTTTAAGAAAATTGTAAGAAATGAGGCTAGGCTAAATAAGAGTCAGGTTTGTGGAGATGCAAGCCCAAGTAAGAATGCATGTTTTTCAGCGCAGTAAACACTCACATCATGAAAAAGCATATACTTTCTTTTGCAAATCATTACATACTGTAGCTTTACTGTCCAGCATTTTCGAGATCTTCCTGTTATGATAAAAAGTATTATCGTTGTTCTTGTACTATCCTCTTTTGTGATGTATTTCTTTTTTTAAATTGGTATATTGTTTTTCAGAGTTAGGCCTGGGCAATATGGTGATAAAAACTGAATTGTGATCTCATTATACTATTTTAGGCAAATCCATATCATGATTCACTCTTTAATGCAGCTCTGAGCTCACACAAAAACAGTTTTTCCCACTCCTCTTATTGGTCAGCCTCAGCCAAGCTCTGAGTGTATGACAGATGGATCTAACCAATCACAATGAGGTATGAACAGTCAGAGGAAGCAGATGACTTTAGTTATCGCTTTAACGGAAGTGAGTTTACTTTGAAATCAAAATTATTAAGAGGCATATCGGCTACCTTATCCACTTTTATTCAGTCTTTATTAAGGTCACTGGAGTTCCTCTTTGAAGAATTAAAGCAGGTAAAGGCCGGTGGATGCAGATAAGGATATCAAATACAGATAACATAGAACTGATGACCAGACTTATGTTTGAAAATATTGTGTGTATCAGCTCTTTTATTACCTTAAAGTAGGGCTCTGTAATTAATAAAAAATTATAATGGGATAAATTGGTGCCACTCCTGCAATTTCATAATTTATAGACACAATTACACCTGTTTTTAATATTTTATATGGACCTGTGCAGTTGTTGTTATTGTTCTGTTTGTGTAATACTTTCACTGGACTTTTTTTGTATAAAAGATAAATAAAATTGAGATGTTCTGTAGACTGGCATTAATCTCCATAAAGACAAGCAGGTAATACTGCCAAGTCAAGAAGACAGACCAAATCTGTGGAGAGGCGTACCCATTAAAAGTAAGAAGAGATGTTTGATGATATTTTTTGAGTAATTAAAACACGTGTAGTAAAATAAAATACAAAAGAAAAAAGGTTCCCTAATGTTGTAGGTCAATTATATTTGCCATGTAAAGAGTAACCATGGTAATAATCAAACTAATTTAACTAATTAACTCTTTCTACAAGACAAATGAGTGAGGTTAGAAGAGGCAGTGAGCTGTGTAATGTCTCTTCTCTAAATAGAGGATTGTCTGCTTGGTTCACCACAGTAAAGTTCTACAAACAACCACGGCCCCAATATGACCCCGAGCATCTAAACCATATGAAGAAAAGGCTATTTATTTAACTTACTTTATGTCCTGTAAGATAATGATTAGTAAGTTAAATAAGTTACACACTGTACAAACAGAGAGATGAAACAATGGGTGGATGGCCTCATAATGTTTGAAGGGTTGTTTTTGAAAGGGCCCGTGTTACGCAATTTTCTGATCTTTCTTTTAATGTTGTTTCCGCATCACAAACAGACCTGAGTTGTGTTTTGTTTCATTCACACATGTTTAACAAACAAATATTCTCTCAAATTCTTCTCTCAAACAGAAAGCACTCTGTCCCACCTTGTGATGTCATGAGTAATACAGAAAGTACTCCACTGTGTTTTGTGAACTCCATACACCTTCACTAGAATCATTTGGCTAATTTCAGACCTTGAATTGCCAATCTCTACTGAACTAAAGGTAAAAGGAGCTGTTAACTAATAATAAAGGATTACACATACATGTGTGAATGAAACAAAACACAACTCAGGTATGTTTCTGATGAGTAAACAACATTATAACATGGTTTAAAGATCACAAGAGTCCATTTTGTGTAATATAGGACAGATGTGTTGACCTACTTTATAGTAATATCAAACAGTGAAAGGGCCATTCAGTCATAAAGGCATAATAGATGACTGGACTTTAAACTACAGTACAGGAAGTGTTTACATTTACACTTTACAAATGCAAACATGAAAATAAGGACTACATCGGGACTAAACCTGGACTAAACTGGGACTAAACCATGTCTCTAAATGCCTCTAAATCAGGACTAAGTAATCCTGGTTTTGATGTGCTTTAGGTCTAATTCTTTTTTGTTTTTGTTTGGGGTTTTTTTGTTTTTTTGGCACCATTTTTTTTTACTCTGTTACTGTAATATAATGTGATGTGTATAATGCAACTGTGTCCAAGTTATTCCCCTTGTGGATCAATAAAGTTTGTCTAAGTCTAAGGGTGCTTTCACACTGACAGTAGTTGGTGCGCACCAAACGTTCCATTTGAACCAAAAGCTCTTAGGTCAGTTTGTTTTTGTTGATGTGAAAGCATCAATCACACTTGGATCCGCACTAAATCAAGCGGACCGAGACCACTTCTTTTTTGAGGTCTTGGTCCTTTTGATTTACGGCGAACTCCACAACAAATGCCAAACTCTGGTGCGGTCCCTCTGGTTAGAATGCAAACTGAACTCGGGTCCACACCATAGATAGTAGGTCCAAACTATACAAACTAAACTATACAAAATGCATCATGGGAGGGCAGTCGAATCCGTATAGCTTGGGATATTTGTCAATGAGACCAGTTTTGGCAGGTGTGAAAGGACCACACTGGAGTCTATATGCTACATACTAACTATTTTATTGCCTGGTGAGGACCAAATAATTGAACTAGTGGTGTGAAAGCGCCCTAAGTCTAAGTTTAGTCTAGTCCTGGTCTAGTCCTGGTTTAGTCCTGGTCTAGTCCTGGCCTAGTCCTGGTCTGGTTCAAAAGTCCTGTTGGAAATTAAAATTGAGCAAAACACATGTCCAGTGAAAAGCCACTGTCCCAGATGTAAACATGCCAGTCTTAATCTGTATCTCCTGGTTCTTCCTGAGAGCTCAAATTGCAATGGACAAAGAATTCAGTCAGTGACAGAGAAGCCTCCTCTGTGGACACTTTTCAGGGTTGAAACTAAAACTGTAAACACTTGATCAATGATTACAGGACTCTAGGACCCCGGCACGCAGGAGTATAAAGGATCACATGTTAGTTAGTGGGACTCTAGGTTGTCACGTGTACCACTGGCAAAGGGACCATAATAACACAAACAAACAGGATATCATTGTCTTTGTAACTAAAATGGAGGTTGTGTGAAGATTGTTAAGTATATAAAACTAAAGGTTGGTAATACTGGAAAAAGGTGAAAGATATAGGCCAAATTTTGAAGTGTGATATATTGCTGAAGTTAATATAGACACAAAAATGTAATACTGAAACAAATTTATGCCACTGACACAATAAGCAGAGCAGATTTAAGCCACAAAAATAATTCTAAATGTACAATATTGTTAAAAAATCATGAGCTGCACTAAATAAATGGCAGAATGACACGTCAGTACTTAGTTTGTGTCTGTAATGCGTCATGGAAGTCATTTATTCAACTTTTTACAGCTTAAATCTTATCATACAACCAAAAATTACCAAATATTTCCCAGTAGCACAAAGAAAAATACAATAAATACTGACCTTAAAAAAACTGTTCCAGTGTTTATATATTAAGTCGATATAGTAATTATCGTGACAGGCCTAGAAAGATATATCGTTGTTTGGGAGATTGTCAAATTAGAATTTCATGGCTACGGTCAATAATTGTGAACAAACCTCCTTGTCAAAGCCTCATCTCATCTTATGTCAGATGCTAAGCAGGGTCGGGCCGGGTTAGTGCTTGGATAAGAGACTGTAGGGAATACAATCACCCTTACAAATATCCTTTTTAGTGGGGCACCAGTGGCAAAAATTTTATTCTGTGCTTGGGCAAGACACTTCACCCACATTTTCTAGTATGAATGTGGTGTCTGTGTGTGTGTGTGTGTGTGTGCGCGTGCGTGCGTGTGTGTGAGAGTGTTGGTGGATGGCGCAGATTGGCAGTAGTAAGTATAATGTGACTGAATAATGCACCAAATTGTAAAGTGACTTTGAGCTTCTAGAAAAGCGTTGTATAAGATGAATTCATTATTATTATTATTAATGTTATTTAAAAAGACTGATTAAAATATTAAAACTCATTTGCTGTAAAATCTTCTAAATAAGGGCCTTTTCTACACTTTTGTTGCTCATTTGATGCTAAGTTTACACATAGCCGGGTATGTTGAGAAATGAATATTTCCCTCCCTCCATTTTCCAAAATAACATCATGCACACAGCATCATTTTCAAAAAAGTTTTCGTTTACATCAACCCACATAAATACGTCATCGAGCACCGTCATAACTACGCCAAGCCTCTGAGCAACACCTGGATTAGATTCAAACCTGTAGCATTTATTTCATTACAGTTGTATTAGGCTCGCCTCTCCACAGATAGGTTAAAGAAGTGGCAAAATCACTGAACTCTGAGCCTCATTCGTCTCTGGTCATGGATATGATTCATCAGCTGTGTGTGCAAATGCAAACACATGACAAA